CATACAACTCAATAACAACAACAACGAGAACCCAAACAATCTGATTAAAAAATGGGCAGAGGAACTGGATAGATATTTTCCCAAAGAATACATACAGATGGGCAACAGGTACATGAATAGGTGCTCAACATCACTAATCATAGGGAAATGGTTTTGATTTCAAAACCATAATGAGATATTACCTCATACCTGTTAGAATGGCTATTATCAGAAAGACGAGAGGTAAGTGTTGGCGAGACTATAGAGAAAAGGGAGCCCTTGTGCATTGTTGGTGGGAATGTAAATTGGTATAGCCACTATGGAAAACAGTATGCAGCTTACTCAGAAAATTAAAAATAGAACTATCATTTGATCCAGCAATCCCACTTTAGGGTATATGTCTAAAGGAAACAAAATCAGGATCTCAAAGAGATATTTCCACTCTCATGTTCATTGCAGCACTTTTCACAATAGCCAAGATATGGAAACAATCTAAGTGACTATTTACAGATGAATGGATAAAGTAGACATCACACACACACACACACACACACACACACACACACACACACGCAGAGGAATATTATTCAGCCATGAGAAAGAAGGAAATTCTGCCATTTGCAACAACATGGATAGAAGCAACAACATGGATAGACCTTAAGGGCATTGTGGTAAATGAAATAAGTCAGACAGAGAAAGTCAAATATTGCATGATATCACTAATATGTGGAATCTAAAAAAGCCAAACTCATGGAAACAGAGAGTATGATTTAAAGACTATGAGATACTGGGAGCCAAGGACCCTCTATTTGGTGATCAATATAACAGAGTTTGTCCAGAGAGAGGGAGAAGTGAGTCTGTTCAAGGGTGGTGCTGGCATTATTAGGTGGGCAGGGTGGGCTCTCTATGGTTCTACCCAGAACAGGAGCCTCTGCACAGACAGAGGTGCCATATTAGCTGCTCTGGGTGGGTTAACAAGTTACTGAAGCAACCTGGAAAACTTGCTCGTAAACTCACAGGAAACTTTTAGAAAGAACTAGGAAGATTATAAAGGGAGTGAGAAGTCTTATAATAACGGCGACTGCCAGGGTCAGAGAAAAGGTGTTTATTCATGTTAATGTGATCAGAATTTAACCCCTTGGCTCGTGAGGTCTGAGACACACAGATTACATGTGAAGATGAGAAATAATTTCAAGTATCTCAGACCCTTCACAAACAGAATGGACTCAGCTGCCTCTGCAGTAAATTTACTCTATTTTCAATTCATTGCTTTCTGGTCAAATCTCAGAATCTTTTCTTAACTAAAATGGTTTGTATCTGAAGTATGTAGCCTGAGCTAAAGACATTGCTTTATTTCTCTGTGAAAGACACATATATCATCTATATCTCTATTTGTATCTGTATCTATACCTATATGTATCCAGAAAAATTGAATTTGTTTTAGGAAGACAATATTTAGCATACAAGTTGTAAAGGGACCCAGGTAGAATACAGCTGTCTTGACCGCTTAGAAAGATAAAATTTCCTTAGGAGTAAATAAGGCATGAGAGTGAGCAAGAGTGACGACAATGACTGTGAAGACAGTCAGACCCAGCCTGCTCCCCTACGGTCGTGTGGTTCAGGGTAAGGCAGCGTGGTGGACAGATTTATAGCTTTTTAAATAACTGTGCCTCAAATGTGCCTCCAATTGGAGAAAAATTACTAGTGGTAGCCCTTGGTCTTGTCTTGTTTCATGGTTTTATCAGCTCCTTGGATGGCAACATGAAAAGTATGCTTGTCATACTTATCAATGTCACCAAGCTGGGAAAGGTTGTTTGATGGTAGACACAATGTCCAGAAGGTCCTAGGTAGGCTGAAATATGAGAATGAAACTTACAAATAAAATAAAATATTCAACCAGTTAACATTTATTAAGTCAGTTACAATGAAATCAAGCGCATTCCTAATGTATGCCCAGTGTAACAACATTCCATGGAAGAAGCATGAGTTAATAGGAAGAAGAAGCTGCTAAAAAATTAATACAATATTAAACTGTAGTGGCACAAGGGTTTTGTCCAAATTAAAGCAGGAAAGGGTACCACGATGTGGTTGTGTTTTGATCGTGCCTATGATATTATGAGCAGAAGCTGGATACCCAACTTTCAGAAATGTTGAACCAGTAGTCAGTCCCCCAACAGTGGTGGAAGAAAAGGATGGAGAGAGATCTGGAAGCCATGTAAGGGGATGTAGAGTTCAACATGTCAAAGACTTTTTCCGGGAAAAGAAAATCTGTAGGTAGCATATGACAGGTATGGTTAATTCATTGGAAGGGAAGTCATGTGGAAGGTGACTGTTGTTATTTTGTCTGCCTCCAGGGGGCAGAAACAGGACCATCGGGAGAGGGGGGCACATCAAGGAGGTGGGTTTCAGAAGACTTAGTTTAGATCTAGAGTTGTTGATAAAAGGCTGTCTTGGTAAGAAGCAATTTTGCCTTTTCTTGGTGGTGTCCAGGCTGTGTCTGAGTGCTTAGCTGTCATGGACTTCAGAATAAAGATTCTGCTTTGGGAGGGAGACCAAGCTGGAAACCTTTATCTCCCTATCAACCCTGTGATTTTATGAGCCCTGACAGTCATTCACCTTCTACCTGAATAGTTCTAATAATTGTGGGACAGATATTCTTGTTTGAAAAGACTTTACACATACACACACACACACACACACACACACACATACACACATTGGGCTACAATTTGCCCTTGTCCTCCTTTGAACAATAGAAAAGAAGGTGAAACTACCCGTGCAGCTTTGGTTAAAATTGCTCTGGAGAAATGTGTTTAACTGAAGTTGCAATATTGCTCTTAGATTGTATTATTGACTGAGCTGGCTGTCCTTTACTCTAGTTAATACTCCAGTAAATTCTGAACACTCTTCAAAACAGGATTAATTGGCTTTTTGTCAATGTTCACATTGAAACTGGTATCAGATCTGGCTTAGGACATTGGAACAAAAAGTAGTTGCAAAGAGTTAATGCCCCCTATCTAAGGTCAAGATTGGATTTCAAGATTAGAGGCAAGACTGAGCCTGCTGTGAGAATCTTGCAACCCCAGCTAATGGCAGGGGAAGGATATTGAGATTGAGAACCTGGCTGGGTCCTCTAGATATATTGGGTTGTCGGAAAAGTCATGAGGCCATTTTGCAACGAAAAACATAGAAAAACACATTGTAACTTTTCCGACAACCCAATATATTACTAGCCATAGTGATTTTGAGAAAGAGGTTCAAATGTAAAAATTTTAGACATATAGAAGTGTTCAGAGGTTTAATGTTTTGAGACCTTTACAATGCTAGTTTCAAAACTCATGTTTTTCTATGTGTTGAAGTTGCATTTCTTTTGTTATAATGTAAGTTATTTGAGCTCAGGTAGTATGACTGAAACTTTTTTTTTATACAACTCAGCCTACACTGCATGGGCAATGGGTTTACAAGTCTGTGTATTTTGTTACAGGCCTTAACTTCCAGGCATCTTCATTTGGATGTTAATTTTTGTATTTGAGCAAATCCTAAGGTGTTTTGTAGCAAAGTTTATGTTACGACTATGGTTCCATAATTTTGGACTTAGGGTGGCAGGTGACTTCCGTTGTTAACACCAGATAGTAATACTGATTGCCTCGGGTGGAGGCCCCTCTTCCCATTCCCAGAATCAGCACTCTGGTCTAAGGCTTCATCGTCTCCTAAGTAGGTCCAGAGCATGCCTCTCTGACATGAGCTGAGCCTTGTTCTACATCCAGCTGCCGGAATAATTAACCTCGAAACCTATTTCAATCACTTCATGCCTCTATAACTCCCTGGGTTTTTGCATTGTATTAAATTTAAATCCTTCAATGTGCAATTGAGACACCTCTCAAAAGTCTCATTTTTTTTCCTTGAAGTTTCCAATTTTCTGTCCTGTTAACACCCTCTGGGAAAAACATCTTCATTAATTAATTCATTCACTCAAGAAGGAACTAATATTTATTTATTGCAAATCAGGTATTGGAGGTTTTTAATCTTCACAACAATCTTGGTGTGTCAACCGATGGTTGGTACCACTTCAATGTCAACAGGAATCCCCAATTTTGGGTGAGGTGAAGAAGGAAACTGTATTCAGTGCAAACAGCTCAATTGTGATACAGCACTGTTATGAGAACAACTTAATAGTGTTACAGCTCAATTAAGAGATGGTACAGCTGTGAGGTGGGGAGGCCCTGGGGCAAGGCGGCCTGGGGTGGGGCTCCTCTCCTGCTAGACCACTCTGCTTAGGTGAGACAACTGTGTTTCAGCTCCGGCCAGGGAAACAGTCCTTGGTAGAAAGGGAAAGTGCGCTCTCTGAGCTAGAGGGGAGCTGACTTATTATAGACAGAAGTCCCTGTCCCTGGTGCCTGATTGGTCTATCCTCATGCAAATGTAGACTCCACATTCTCAAAGTTTGAGTGGCCCAAAAAGCACTGTCCTGATTGGTCAGAATGGAGCTGCTCTGACCAATTTAATTGGTAGGTGAAGATGTTGAAGATATAGCTGTGCAACTGATTGAATCAGGAAGGCTTCAATCCTATTGGTTGAAATAAAATTCCAGGAACTCCTTTATAAGGGCTGGCTCAGGTGTCAGGAACACAGGGCAGGCAGGCAGTTCAGTGCAGGCTACTCCCTGAACCTCTGCTTGCGTGAAAGGCTGGTTAGCCACCAGGAGGCCTTCTTAGTAGGTTTAGTAGGTATCTTCTTTTTCAGATTCCAGTAGAAAGGCAATATGGTCATTTAATAAATAAGACACCCAGGGTCAGAGAACTTCAATAACTTGCCCCAAATCACTGGCTTTTGTCTGATTATAGTTTGCATGTTCTTTCTATTACACATGCGTCCTCTCTTTTTGCAAACATTTATTGGGTTTCTATTCTGTGCCAAAACTGGGGTTGGGTGTTAGGATAAGAAGATGAATGACATATTGAGATCATGTATATGAACATTAAAACTTTAATTTTAAGCCATTTTGTACACATTGATTATTCTTAATTAGAACAAATTCAGTCTAGGGAAAGAAATAGGCAGAAATAATTTTGTCTTCTGAACCTCTCTCGCCAACTTTTACCTTCTCTGCCAAGTCTATCCTTCAACACTTGAATTTAACCTTCTACACTTTGAAGTTTGTCCATTTAACTAGTCATTCAGATTCTTCCACATACTTCACAATTAATTTATTCAACAAACATTTATAAGGGGGAGTACCATATTCAAACCACAATAGTAGATTGGTGCTGGGGATACAAAAAAATAAACCAGTCAAATGAAAGAGATAAACGATAACTTCAGAACAATGTGAGAACTAAAAAGAATTATGAGATTGTGTGAAAAAGAGCTATGAGACTGTGGGGAGGGAGGGAGTGATTTTAGCGTGAGCTCAAAGATGAGTAAATGATCTTAAGTTAGGGTAGAGGAGGAAGTGTGCTCCAGGCAGAGGGAAAGCATGTACAAAGGGACAGAGATGTGCTTTGAAGTCACGGAAGGGCATGGCTCAGGGGAAGCCGGAGAAACTGAAGCTGGAGCTGGGGAACCACTGCTTTTTGGTTTTTTTCCTTCTCATGCAGAACTATGACCTAGGCCTGCAAACATGTTTTAGAAAAATGGCTTCAAGAGCCCTTTTGGATACATTTGGGGAAAGAAGCCAATTAGAAGGGATTGCCCCATTTACCTGAATTCATCGTTATCCCCCACATCTCCAAAAAAGAATTGCAAATTCCACAAGGAAAGGAGCTATTTCTCAGCATTCTTTTCCGTTCTTGGGGCTTTAATATGGTACCATGTACAATAACTTTATCTGCTAAATGGTTCTTATTGTTTTAGGTCAATGAAAGTAATTTGTTGCCTCTCCTCACTACTGAGTACAGCTTTGTAGCCCAATAGTCGAGGCTGAATGTAATAATTATTCAGAATACCTGGGAAGGTAAGGAGGGAAGGGGCCTTTCTGGGACAGCTTCTATTCTCTTGTCTCCTGGAAAATTTGAGGGGTGGTATGGGATGCAGTCACTTAACAATTTTGAGACTGTATAATAGGATACATTAATGAATATAAACTCAGCAATTATCCGATGAGTCCTATTGTGGCCTATGCATTGTGCTATGTTTGAAAGATACAGAAATACAGATATGAGTAAGGCACAGCCTGCCCTTGTGAGTGCACACTGGCCACTGAAAGGGGGAAATAAGACATTTTAAGTTTGATATAGTAAAATTCGTTCACGCTACGTTAACCGTGTGAAGAAAGTGCTGTGCGAAACTGAGAAAGGAGTGACAAAATAATAGCTCACAAGGTTGTTGGGGGGATTTAAGCATAGTTAATATATGTGTAAATAAAGTCAGTCTTTGCTTTAATTATTACTCAGCAAACACTGCATTTATATTGGTAGTGGGCGATCTTTTGCAGAACGTGCAGCCCTCACCTTTCAGGAGTTGCTAGTTCCCCTAAGCCTCAGATTCCTTTACTGAACCCAAACGAGTTTCTGGTTAGTTATGCAGGCCTATGGGGCGAAGGAGGCTCCCACGGCTCCAGCGAACCTGAGGGTTCTGATGGCGTGTGTACTCGGTAGTTTACGGCAGTGGGCGGGACCCAAATCCCCATGTGGTCTCGACATCATTGACATGGCGGAATCCCCCATCAAACCCTCCTGGTAGTTATTTGAGCGGCGGCGGCGGCTGGAGGAGGAGGAGGAGAGCGGCGGCGGCAGCGGCGGCGGCGGCGGCGGAGGGAGCAGCGAAGGGGGCAGCGGAGATCCTCGGGGCTGCCGGCTGGGAAGGCGTGGGCGACCCGGTGTGTGGCGCGCCCGGAGCCCTGCTCTTCAAGCCCGAGGGAAGGTACGGCGTGCAGGAGCGGGAGGCTGGAGGGGACCCGGACCCCGCGCCTCGGCCGCTGGGTCCCGGCGCGCTGGAAAGCCCCGGCCGGACGCCGAGTCCGCCAAAGTGCATTCCTGTCCTGGAGCGCTCCGGGCGCGCCGGGCTTCCCGGGGAAAACTTGGCGCGGGAGCAGGCTGGGGCGCCCCGCGATCGCCTGGGCACCCCGGGAACGCGGTCCCGGGAGGGGGTCGGCCTCCGCTGGGGGGCCCGCGTCTGGCTGGGCTCCGGTCCGCCGCCTGTCCCCCCGCTTGCCAGGGCTTGGAGGAGGGAAAGCAACGGGTAGATTCTTCTTGATGAAAAAAAAAAAAGAAAAAACCTGGGCAGTGGCTCCCGGGCTCTCCCTCCCCCCAGCCCTCCCAGCAGATTCTGTCCGAGGAATCCGCTCCCCCTCCCGGAATCTCCGCGGCAGGAACGCTGCCCGGGAGGGGGAGGGCGGGTGGGGAGGCCGAGGAATCTTCGACGTGTCACTTTCTGAGGCTGTAGATTTCCATATGGTCTCGGAGGGAGGGGGGCGTGCGTGCGAACGGGGCTGGACGCTGGGGCCGCCTCTCCGCGCCCGCCGGGGGGCGGGCCGGGACCTTGCACCCGCAGATGCTCGCGGGGAGGGTCGCGAGCCCGCGCCGGCCCCCCGCCCCCGGCCGGGCCTCCGGGACACTCCCCGCCTCGCCGCTGGCCACCTCCGGGCGCGCCACGTCCTCCCTCCCCGTCCTGCCCCCCGGGTTCCCCCCGGGCTGGGGGCGGTAACCGGCGGCCGCGGCGGGACTCGGCGAGCCAGGCGGCTGGAAGCTCGGGCGGGGAAAGCGGGGCGCGTCGGGAAGGAGCGGGCGACCCGGCGTGTGGGCCAGCGCAGCTCCGGTCAGTCGGTCATCCGAGGGGCGCCCGGCCGGGGGCGGGGCGGGCGGGGGGGAGTCGTGCCCCGAGGCGGCAGGGAGGGGCAGCGCGCACCGTCTGGTGCCCACGGCGGGGCGGGGGCCGGCCGGAGTGGGGAGGGCCTGTCACTCTGGGCGGAAAGTGGGGCCTCGGGCTGAGCCCGCGAACTTTTCCAAAGGTCCGGTCCCGGCGCCCCGTGGGAGCCCGAGTCCCCGAGCCCGGTGTCCCGAGAGACGGGGCCGGGTTGTCCCGCGGCGCCGTCGGCGGGGAGGCTTCCAGGAGTGCGCGGATGAAATTGGAGCTCTTCGAATCTCAGCTCCGTGCCATCCCTGACCCAGGGAAGCAATGGTGTTTTATCCAAGACGGTGTCGTTTGCGGACTTCCTTAAAAGTTACTTTTTATTTGCTTTTCTCATCAGCCCAGCATTTTCTTGAAACAAAATTTGGAATTTGGCCAGGATGGGCCGACGCTCGGGCCCCAAATCCACACGTTTATCTCTCCATCCCTGTTGGTTTCTAGTCTCCCTCCCCCTCTTCCACCCAGGCTTAATCAGTTTTTGGAACGGGCGACGTCTTTTGTTGGGTGGGCACCCCCTGATTGCTTGTCTGTTTATTTTTTAATGTGCAGTTAATTTGCTTTGAATTTCCTCCAGTTTCCAGGCCCTGCTAGAGAAAGCAAAGGGAGAGGGAATAAGCCACTTTTTTTTTTTTTTTTTTTAAGTTTGGAGAGAGGTGGGGCATTGGGACAGGGGAGGCTCGGTGGTTATGGGCAAAGAGAGGGAGCAGACAGACCCGGAAGAAAAGGAATCTGCTCTGGAATAACACTTTTTTTGAGGCTTCAGGCCTTGGGCTAAAGAACACCGCTGTGTTCTGATTTCTACTGCCTGAGTGGCTCTTCCACACTCAAGTTAAAGCTGTGACTCTGGGGACCACCGGCTGCTGTGGACTGCGGGGGCAGAGGCACGCAGCCCATAGCGGCCGGTGGCGCTGTTTTTTGTGCCTTGTGTGAGGACCCTTGGTCCCCCCTCATGGTAGGTGGATTCTGTGGACCCCGCGTTCAGTAACTTTCCTGGCTCTCTGGGAACAGCTGTTAGCGAGGGTAAAGTTTTGGGAATGTTTCTGGCTCTGCAAGGGGACTTCACCCAGGAGGGTATAATTCTCACTTTGTTTAGACACTAGAGGGTCACTCACAAGTTGGCTAAGAAGGAGGCATAGCGGGTTAAAAAAAAAAGTCATTAAAAATTGCGCATAAACTTCCATGTATTTGAAAGTACTTTGGTTTAAATGCTTCTAAGAAAAAAAAATTCATCTGTAAAGATAGTGTTCATTGAAAAGAGATGAGATGTTAAAACTGCAAGATATCATCATGGAATAGGGGGTTGTAGCTTCTAATTACAGTATATACGATTTCAGAAAGATATTCCGGTAACCTTTTAAGACAGACTTTATAAATAGCTCACATCAGACCATAGCTATATTGCACAGCCGGTCTTCTGGGGTTTCCGGAAGAATGCTTGGGATCTGATCTGTTAGGGAGCTCTAGGAATTGAGGTAGCAGTTTACTCAGGAGTTTGTGCCCCTTTTGCTTAACACCTCAAGTTAACACGGTGGAATTTAAGAGCATCTTTAGAAGTTAACTAGAAGAACTTTACAAAGTTTTCAGTCTTAGGAAAATGAGGCCCAGGGAGGGGAAGTGATTTGTTCAGGGTTACCCTCATTGATTAAAAAGTCCCACATAGGATTGTATTAATAGCCACTCTTTCTTGGATGTCAGATTTGTACTGTGCACTTTGCGTTGTGCTTTAAAATACATTATCTCATTAAAATTCTAATAGTTTCAATTTAGGTGGTGTTATGGGCATTGAGGTTCACAAAAATTAAGTATCTTGCATAAGATCACACAGCTACCTACAGCATAATACAGTTTTCTTCGATGATGGAAATGGCTTTGTCTCTGTGCTGCCCAGTATGGCAGCCACCACGTTGTAGATGTACAGGTACATGGAGCTCTTTTGTAGGTTTAAAGTGTGACGAGTAGGACTGAGGAACTGCATCTTAAATTTTATTTACTTCTAATTATTTTCAACTGCTATTTGTGGCTAGTGCTTTGCCATGTGGGAGATCTCAATGTAGAAATTTTTGACTTCCACATCTGTTAACTTTTAACTGGGTTGTATTGGTTTTTAGATCTTCTAGTTTAGTTTTCTTTCTTCCACACTACCAGATGATTAGATTCAGCTCTTCAATGGAATTTAAATGCTGCATTAGCTAAAGTTGAATTTTGCTTTCACACTTCGAGTGGTTAAAATAAGCATACTATTATTATTTTTTTTAAATGCTTGCACGTCATGGTAAAAATTGACGGGCAAAACTTTAAATGACATTTTTATGTTTGGTTGAAATAATTGTTTATAGGAATTGCTGTAAAGGCAGTAGCTTGTTGGTTATTTTAGTGTACTAAAGGAGTAGAAATAAGGCAAAATGAAAAATCACTAATGGGGTGTTGAAAAAAATGACCCCCTAATACTCATGTTTACTTGTTCATTGGACGATTCTTTTCAAGTGACTTAATAGGTATCAGGTAAATAATATAGCCAAACCATCATTCAGTTTTCTTTATGTCGCTGCACAATTAATCTGAAGAACTAAAATCATTGCTTTACTATCAAATAAAATTTAAATGATTAAAACAAGCGACAACAGATTCTTTTGGTGGCAAATAGTCAAATAGTTTTGTGATTAGTGGATTTAATTTACATATGTTGCACCTTAGAATTCATTTGGTAGAAGGAACTTCAACAACTTCCTGATTTTGTAAAAAATAGTGAAAAATTCTAAGTCGTGTTAAAGGAAACATTTATTTGGATTCCATCTTTAAATATCCAATACCCCAATACTTTTTTCTTTCTTTCTTTTTTTCCCCCCTGAATACTGCTTTTGGGAAAAGACAAATGATTATGTAATCTCTTTTTGTTAGAATTTTTAAAGCAGTAACTTCCAGGTTCAGTGTAAATATATCTGAATCTGCTGTACCTGCCATAGTTATTGTATTGCCCAAGGATAATCGCAGTTCATCATGCCAACCCGTAGCATTATAGGATCCTGAAGACCTACCCTACTGTAAATCAGCTTTAAATGTTCTGTATTTTAGTGTTATGTGAATTGTATGGCTCCAGCTCTTGGAAATTTGTCAAGTCAACTGTAGGTAAGGAAGGCGTCCGTCAGTGAGACTGTTCAGATAGCTGAAACAGCCTGTTCATACCCTATTCTGACCATAGCTATTGGGAGCATAGTTCTTTTCAAGGAATGAGGATGAGACCCATGTTATAAATAGGAATATAGTGTTCTCGTGAGTGTGACAAACATAGGAAACATGATTTAACTCATGATGTAGGACATTAAGCTGCTTAATACAAATGAGAGAGAGGGAATTTTAAAAGATAAAGATGTTGAAAGGATGGGCAATGATTGGAAATCTTATAGCGCTGGGCCATATCTGAGCATCAGTTTGAAATCAGAATATCTAGACTATCAAGGACTTACTTTACTTTTTAGCTGTGTGTCCTTGATAAACTTCAAAACCACTCTTAATATAGGAGAAAACATCTCAAGTGGTTGTCACAGGGATCAATGAGTGTATTGGAATGTGTTTGGAAAAGCCTTATACACACCATATTTCATTATATTCCAAAGTTTAAAACTGAGCTGTTCCTATGGTATTTCTTTGAGTGTCTTCAAAGATTTTCAGATTGTGTTTCGACAGTTTGAAAAGTGATTTACTTTTTTTCTTTCTGATGAATAAAGTTTCAAGTTTTAGATTGTTGTGTTTCATTTTCTTCCCACTCCTAATGGAACTGTTGATTTGTGACCTCTCAAAAGTTCTACTCTACATAAGAAGTCTCAGCTTCACGTTGTTGGGCAGATTTTCCTTAGATGTGACCTGCAGCTGGCTAGCATTTAAGTGAACAGGACCGTCTACTTGACTCAGGGCCATTTTTGAGGTAGAGGGCAAAAAGTACAGTCTCTTAGAGGAAATGCCAATATTGAGTGATAGAGGCTTTGGCTTTCGTCCTTGTATATAATCTTAGTAAG